ATTCAATAAATCTTTAGTGAACACCTACTTACTATGTGCTAGGTTCTGGAAATACAAAAATGTGGAAGATTAGGTCCTCAGAGGCTATGAGGGAAGACAAACACAAACACTTTTTTATTGCAGGAGAGGCAGAATATAAGGGTACAGTAAACACCCCAGAGAAGAGAATGTGAATCTTGAACAATGACTAGGATTTTAATTGGCAAATGAGCCAGAGGGGATAAAAAGCATGGTTAATGGCATGGAAATAAAAAATGTAAAGATCTAGTTGAAATTTAAGCAAGTTAACCATTTTATAAAGGACACAACACAATGAAGATATATCAACCATAAGCTAAATGGTAAAATGTATTATATCCAAATTTAGAGAGAGGAGTGAGTGATACCACCAGAGTGGTATATTGTCCAAAGATTAATCTGACAACAATATGCATGCTAGATTGAATCAGGGAGAGAATAGAGGCAGGAAAAACAATTAAGCTATTACTACACTCTAGGAAAAAAAAATAATAAAGGTATAAACTAAGTTGACAGAAAGAGTGACAAGGAAAAGAAGTGATGGAAAGGTAATTGTAAAGAAAAGACTGAGCTAGAAGACTGATTGGATTATACATAGACAAGGGGAATGAGTAAACAATAACTGTTAAACTCAATCTAAAGGTATACATCATTAACATAAACAGGGACATCAATGAGAAGAGGGCTTGATAAGGAAAGATGTTCCATTTTAGGCTGAATTTAGAGAAATTTCTGAGAATTATATAAAACTGTCTTATAATCAAATTAATAATACTTTCAAAATAATTAGTTAAAAAGGATGCTGGTAAAGCCCAAAGATAAAAAGAATTATCTCTAATGTTAAGGGATAAAAGTAAAATTATAATACTGAATTCCAACTGTGAAAATCTGTTTTTGAACAATAAGAAGTTCTCTGAAGAAATTACAAAGGTTAATGTGAACACAGTAGTCACCATTCTACGGCAAAGGCGTGAACCTGTATTTACTATATTACTACTTAAAAGACATTTACATATACACACGCATATATATATGTATATATATAATTACAATATATTTAATAGCATTGCATTTTAAATCAATACGTAACCTAAAAAAATGGAAATGAGGCTTGAAGATTTGCAGAATCGAGGGAATTGTAAACTGACTTGGAAGTCCCTGGTGCAGAGGAAGAAGAAAAGATTTTAAGGTTAAACTCAACAGGCTAAACTCAAAACTGCTGGAGAAAAATCTCGGCCCTGTATTTTATGCAAACCAGTATCAGTAAGTATCAGCAATAAGGCATTCTACATATAACCATATCAATCTCCCTAAATCTTTACAAAGTATGCCAAAATAGAGATATAATCACACACTGTAAAACTCTACCACGTAGCTTTAAAATCAGAAGCTGATTATTGCCCTGTTGGTAAAAATGAAATTCTACTCTAGAACTCGGTTCTAGAAAAAAACAGAAATTTATATCTATGCTTAACTTTGTGCTGTTTTGTAGCCTTGGGGGGTCAAGTCTCCGTGGAGTGGGTGGAGGAGAAAGGCCAAGATAGGAAATTTGACAAGAAACACTGCTTCTTCTCCTACATAGAGGACATATTTCTATACAAAAAGAACAGCTAAAAACTGGCTATCTTTTATAGCTTCTAATGAGAGAGCACATTCAACAAACAAACCTTTAAATATAATCTGTTTATATTTAAAATGAAAGCAAACCACTAAATTTTTAAAAGTGTATTTGTGGGTTGTGAAGTTCCTAAAACTTTTCTCTTGACAATAAAATTTAGAACACTTGAAAAAACCTGAAAAGCAAATGAATATTCAAAAAACAATAACCAACCTGGTAAAACATTTTAGGTATTCTATGATCTTTTGAGAGGTTAAATTTTAAAGAAACTATTCAAGGACTATTAAATCAGTGATTTTAGTTTTTATCATTAAATGTGGAAAGCAAGCTAAGTTCAAGAGATTTCTTAAAAGCTTAAAATTTTCTTGTGTGTGTGGTTTTTCATTTTATTTATTATCTTTTCACTACTTGTTGTCCTAAATTTGCCCAAAGCGAACTCCGTTTTCATAGTAACAATGGAAAAAAAGTACAAGAGTTGATAAATAAGAAGTGAGAGTGAAGAAAACATAACAAAAATGTTAATGCTTGATATTTTAAAGATTTTGACTTAACAGATTTCAGGAATGTGCAGATAAGGAAAAATTTCATGGAAAAGTGGAGGCGGGAAGAGGCTATGGGTTCAAACCCACACAAATAGTGACAAAAAGGGTATTACGCAAATGGCATGAATTTAGAAACTTGTTTGTCAACTAAAACAAAATACCCAATAAAGATGTATCTACACAACACCAAACTAACCACTGAATTCAGTTAATCAGGAAGACACTGGTAAGTCTGACAATTCTTGCAACACGTGAATATTGAGAGGAGAAAAAAGATCTTAAGAAGGCAGTAAAACGTATTTTCTTTTCCTCCCTAAACCACTATTACAGTAATGTAAATATCAGAAATTTTCCTCTTTCTCCAAGCCAATAAAATTGGGTTCCTCCACAATAGTAACTTTAAATTTCCATTTGACAATTTGAATGAAACATATTGATTCGAACTATTATCCAATTATCCTGACCTCCTACAGTAATAAATGTCTTTCAGATTGTTTCACACTAAAATGTGTAAAATGTGTAAAACAAGTACACTTGAAAGAAATTTGAAGATTCATCTTATATAATTACATTATCATTTTTAATGCTAAAAGTTTCTTTCACTCTCAACACCATGGTTTTAAAATTTAAGAGTTATGATATGCCTTAAATAAACTTCAGCTAAATAAAGTTTGCTATGCATTAACGAATCTAAATTAATGAAATAGAGAAAGTGCTAAAGATCATGCTATATTTTTACTGGGGCCACATTTTGAATTCCATATTTGTCCTGCAATTTGTCAATCATTTCAATGTATCCAGTCAACTTTGTAAATAAAGGCTATACTTCAAGCCTGATATGAGAATTCGATTACATAAAATTTAAAATGGTCATCATTCACTTAAACAGGAAGCAGTATAAAGAAAAAATGCCACTACACACCTCTTTTTAAAAAGCATCAAGTTAATGTTCATAAAGTATAAAGCCTTGAGTTTCAACCTCCCAAACAAGTTTTTACCACATTACTCAAAATAAGGCTATGATCTTCCACACACAACCAAGGCAACTTTGAGATAGCTTACAAGTCTTTTCATTTTAAGGGGAAGCTATTGCTGTAAAGATGTTTTCTATTATAGTAATTCCAAGTTGCCCGCTAAGAAAATAGAAAAAGCCTATATCTTGTCACCTATTACCATCACTTAAAAATTGCTTTTATGCAGAACTGTACGTGGTTGTATTGCTTTTGGCCTGTTAAAGGCAAGGCAACATTATCTCTGGATTGCCAATAGTTTCTCCTTATTTGGCTAACATCGAGAGATCCCAATCAGACTACTATAAAACTTTAACATGCACAAAGCATCCATTTTGAGAAAAGTTTGTGACCAGCTTTCTTCCCCCACCCCTAAAAGAAAAATCAGAGCTTGGTAACTGGCTTTGAAAAGAGAGTCCCATATTTATTCTTCTCTTTTTAACCGCAGTACACACCCCAGGACTGGGGCTCAAGGATCTCTGACACTGCGGCAAACTTCGAGTATCAGACTCAACATGTTCCTGTCCGGAGGTGGGCAAGCTCTTCAGAGGGCTTCCTTAGTCTACCCACTTCCATCCCCTTCCTTTCAGCCGGTGCAGATCAGCTAATTACACCCTGTTTTCCCCTCCCAATGACCAGGAGTAATAAATGAGAAAACAGGAAATCGTTCGCTCAGGGCACTCGGCTGAGGGCTCTAGATTACTGTTATTATCATCCTCATTTGTAATCAAGTCCTAAAAAGTGCAACAAATCCAATGACCACCTACAAGTCAAAGATGTTCATCTGCCCAAGCGTCCCTAATGCCCCTTGCTAGTTTTCTTCTTTCAGCATCCGCCCGCCTCCCCCCACCCCAACCCCGCGCCAAGTGTATCACTGACACCAGGGTCCAGGCACAATCCCACTACACCCCTCCCTGTCTCGACCCGAAATCCCAGACACTTATTCACAAATGGCCCTGTGGCCCCAAGACGACCACAGTTCCTTTTCCCCTATGCCCCGGAAATCACCCGGTTCCCAACTCCAGCAGCAACTGTTCTAAAGAGGGCCTCAAGCCCAGCGCTCTCCCCTCCACCAGTTCTCTGCCTCCCGCCCTCTCGGGAAACCGCCCCCTCACCCGCAGCAGGGAGTCTCCCGCCGCCCCCAGCCTCCAGAGGCGGAGAGCCGAGGGCAGGCCCCGACGGGAGGCCGACAAGGACCCTCAGGGTCAGGAGAGCCAGCGGCCGGGCGCACAGACCTGGTGCAGGGCAGTGAGTCCGTCCACATTGGCGTAATTGATGTCGGCGCCGCGGTGCAGCAGCTTGAGGACCTCGTCCGTGTCGCCGCTGGAACAAGCAGCCAGGAAGACGGCGCCATCGTCGAACTTCACCTTGGTCTTCTGGCGCTTCACCACCGGAGGCTCGAGGTCCGTCTCGGAGCCGATCCAGCGCTTCAGCTGCTCGTTCCGCTTCTGCTTCGCGTCCGCCATCTTCATCCCCTCTCCTGCCGCCGGGTCTTCTTATCTTGAGGGGGGGAAGGGGGAGGCGGAGAGGGAAGAGAGGGGAGGCAGGGGGTGTGTGAATGTTTCTATGAGTGCCGGCCAGAGGAGGGCTGGGAACCGGGAGGAGACGCTCGAGACTTCCAGTATCCCACAGAGCACTGGGGCGGCGCGCCCGGCCAAGCGGACCTCCCTTCCTACCACAGAAGCCCTCCCGCCCCCAGCCCGGCCACCCGTCACCGGCGGCCAATCTAACGTAACTTCGCGAGATCCGGACAAGGACGCGCCCTTCGACCAGTGCGCATGCGCCCTGGGCCTGCGCCCTCCCCAGGAAAAGTGCTCCCGCGAACTGCGGCGGGGGCGGCCGGGCCACCGGAGGGAAGCGGGTGTGGCCCGGGCAGCGGGGACTGGGACAGACCTCGAAGGGAGGAAGCGGGGAAGGAAGGTTGTCCTGCCGGGATGGGGGCTCCCGGGGTTCCGGAGGCTAGCAATGGAACTGCAAGGCTCTGCAGGGCAGGTCTGTCTCCTGGGCTGTCTCAGCTCCTCCGAGTCGTTGGCTCAGGGCGGAGGATTTTCCTATTGGCTGCGTTATTTGAATGGAATGGAGGATAGGTCGTGAAGTAGGTGCTGGTGGTTGCTCTTTCTAAGGAACTCAGACGAACTTGGGCACGTCAGAATTAATAACCTTTTAAAAGTGGGGTCTGTGTAGCCGAGGGCTTTAATGGTACGTTCTTGAGGTTTCCACATATTGACGAGGGTTGACCTGCGGTAACTGCGTTGGCTTCTTGCCAACCCCCGCTTTAGAAACGTTTTTCCTCTTCTCTTTACTTGTTTTGTTTTCTCGCACGCTCGAATCCTCTTCTTCTTTGCTTTAAGCCTGTCTGGTACTACCCGTGAGCTTAGCTGAGCCTGGTTACTGGTCCTTACCTTTTAAGGGATTTCTGGTTACATACAGCTCCATCGCTTTCTAAGGAGGGGTAAAGACCCAGCTGCGTCTAGCATTTAAACGGAATGTTAGTGAAGGCAATGAATTCAACCACTATTTATTGAATACATACTATGAGCCAGTAACTGTACTAGGTACTGAAGATACAATGAAAAATGTGACATTTATTTGAACCACCTCTTGAGTTCACTTGCCCAAAAAAGAGTAATTTATCATCATCATAAAAACAGACTTTAACTTTGCCTTGTATGACCACATGCGTGTACACATAGGATTTGTAGTACTGATGTCTTATGAGCCGTCTATCTGCAATCTCCACCATATTTACTGAACTCTACGTTGTTATTATCCCCTGTTATTTTTAGAGCATTTAGAAAAGTCAAAATGAAAGTCGCAAAACCTTACCATGGAAGTTTAGGGGTCATCAGGACTGCATCCCTCAAGAACTAGTTAATTTTATTAATTTTACCCAGAAGTAGGATTAGAATTCACTCAGCAATTAGTATGCACCTGTTCTGGGTCAAGCATTGTTCTAGGTGCTGGAGATAGAGCTGTGAACAAAAAAGCTTTTCTTATTCTCAGCATGATGCCTTTTGCAGTGGACTACTTCACAGCCTATCATATTGAGAAATTAAATAATTTAGTAAAATATGATTAGGAAACTACCTGCCTGTGAGACAGTTTTCTGAACCACAGTTATTAGGATAGCAATAGATGCCAGGTTAGGGTAAAAATATTTCATCTGAAAACATTGTAGAAATAGAAAATGAATGTAATATTTGTAAGATGTACCATTGTATGTTCATAACATATATTAGTAAGTCAGACCTTTGAATACTGATGGTGTTAGGTTCTGAAAAATACTGTTAGCACTAAAATACAGAATCCCTATCCACAGAATACAGCTCTCAGAATAAAAGAACTTAAGGATGACTTGTCAGCTCCTCCCTCTACCTAGGCAAACTGACATCATATCTTTATTGTTTTCTAAGAACGTTATAGTCTATTTGGTAGCTCTTAAAAGTGCCCATTGAATATAGATGCGTATCTCAAGTTTTCATTTGGGCAAAAAGAGTTTGGTGGGAAGTATGCTATTCCTGAGTCAAGCACTTATTTCAGGATGCAAAATTAATGAAACAATAGTTTATTAATAAAACATAGTCCATTCAGCTCCCTGAAGCTGTCAGGGAAAAACCAACCAACCAACTAGGGCCAATAATCATGCAAATTTCACTGAGTTTAGTTTATCTTCTTTCATGTCTCTAAGGGTCAAGACACTCTGTGTTATTATTGAAAGTACTCTCAAACTGCCACCTACTTTGTCTTTAGGGGGGATTTTTTTTTTTTTTTTTTTTTTAGTTGTTAGTGAATTAATGATACTGAAGACCTAGGGTTAATTCCAGAACAAGCAAAACTTTTTGTTGACACAACACAGTCCCAGTACCGTGTTTCAAGCCTGTAATCCTACCAGTTTGGGAGGCTGAGGAGAACTCTGCCCAGGAGTTTGAGGCTGCAGTGAGCTATCTGTACTATAGCCTGAGCAACAGAGCTAGACCCTTATCTTCACAAAAAAAGAAAAAAGACACACACAAACACACACACACACACACACACACACACACACACACACACACACACA